CCCCTTTCCTACGCCACTGAAAACACACGGGAAAGAAGTGAAACTCGCGGCATAGTTCATACAAGAAATTAATTTCTCATTGTCTTTTTTTTTTGTTCAGGTCCAAATTGCCAAAGAGATTCAAAAGAACCAATCTGAAATCAACCTTACTGAAACTCATCGTAGCGTCCGCTTTCTTATCAGGGCTCTACATCTACATGATCAAGCAGTAAGTATTGTTGTTTAACTCTATAGACTTCGTTACATCTACATGATCACGCCGTAAGTATTGTTGTTCTACCCTATAGACTTCGTTACATCTACACGATCACGCCGTAAGTATTGTTGTTCTACCCTATAGACTTCGTTACATCTACATGATCACGCCGTAAGTATTGTTGTTCTACCCTATAGACTTCGTTACATCTACACGATCACGCCGTAAGTATTGTTGTTCTACCCTATAGACTTCGTTACATCTACATGATCACGCCGTAAGTATTGTTGTTCTACCCTATAGACTTCGTTACATCTACACGATCACGCCGTAAGTATTGTTGTTCTACCCTATAGACTTCGTTACATCTACACGATCACGCCGTAAGTATTGTTGTTCTACTCTATAGACTTCGTTACATCTACACGATCACGCCGTAAGTATTGTCTTTCTACCCTATAGACTTCGTTACATCTACACGATCACGCCGTAAGTATTGTTGTTCTACCCTATAGACTTCGTTACATCTACACGATCAAGCCGTAAGTATTGTTGTTCTACCCTATAGACTTCGTTACATCTACACGATCACGCCGTAAGTATTGTTGTTCTACCCTATAGACTTCGTTACATCTACACGATCACGCCGTAAGTATTGTTGTTCTACACTATAGACTTCGTTACATCTACACGATCAAGCCGTAAGTATTGTTGTTCTACCCTATAGACTTCGTTACATCTACACGATCACGCCGTAAGTATTGTTGTTCTACCCTATAGACTTCGATACATCTACACGATCACGCCGTAAGTATTGTTGTTCTACCCTATAGACTTCGTTACATCTACACGATCACGCCGTAAGTATTGTTGTTCTACACTATAGACTTCATTACATCTACACGATCACGCCGTAAGTATTGTTGTTCTACCCTATAGACTTCGTTACATCTACATGATCACGCCGTAAGTATTGTTGTTCTACCCTATAGACTTCATTACATCTACACGATCACGCCGTAAGTATTGTTGTTCTACCCTATAGACTTCGTTACATCTACATGATCACGCCGTAAGTATTGTTGTTCTACCCTATAGACTTCGTTACATCTACACGATCACGCCGTAAGTATTGTTGTTCTACCCTATAGACTTCGTTACATCTACACGATCACGCCGTAAGTATTGTTGTTCTACCCTATAGACTTCGTTACATCTACACGATCACGCCGTAAGTATTGTTGTTCTACCCTATAGACTTCGTTACATCTACACGATCACGCCGTAAGTATTGTTGTTCTACCCTATAGACTTCGTTACATCTACACGATCACGTCGTTAGTATTGTTGTTCTACCCTATAGACTTCGTTACATCTACACGATCACGCCGTAAGTATTGTTGTTCTACCCTATAGACTTCGTTACATCTACACGATCACGTCGTAATTATTGTTGTTCTACCCTATAGACTTCGTTACATCTACACGATCACGCCGTAAGTATTGTTGTTCTACCCTATAGACTTCATTACATCTACACGATCACGCCGTAAGTATTGTTGTTCTACCCTATAGACTTCGTTACATCTACACGATCACGCCGTAAGTATTGTTGTTCTACCCTATAGACTTCGTTGTTTATCAATGGAGTAAAGCAACTAAAAGACATTACAGACATATTTCGACCTTTTTTTTTTTTAAACATTTGTGTTTTTCTCCCAATCCATCGATGCCATTCATGAGTCTGTCCAATAGCGAAGGATTAATATTTTTTTTATATTTATTAATACGATAGCAGTGCAGATGGCACACATGTATTCAACTTAGCCGTTAATATGCTTTAACGTGGTCGATTTGGTCTAAACTAAGGCGGAGAGAGTAAGGCTAATGAATTGAGTATCTTTCTCTTACATAAAACAAAATATTGCTCAAGTCACGTGGTAATGATTTCTGCAATGAGTGCGCATTTTGTATTGTGTTTTATATACTTGATTGTTAGAGAGCTTATTTGGTGTTGAGATTAATTGTGTAGATGTTGTTATGTGCTCCTCGTGACACATTTGGGAATAAGAGATGATTTTGATCGTTGTAATGGTTTTGGTAGTTATTGAATCGCCTGGAGCTAGTGTAAAGAATAAGGTACGCTATTGTAAATAAAGAATCATTTCTAAAGTTGATCTTGTCATTGTTTATTAATGACCAAATGACTTAACTAAGCTACTGAACCGCTAATCTATATAGCATTTCGGAAATTTGGGGGCTCGTCCACGATAAACTCGTTAAAGCAGAATAATACGGTTCACCAAAACTGAATTCTGTATTTCATGAAGGTTGTGACATGTGACATGTAATTAAATTACCATACCCTTAGTACCCTTGTTGGTAATCATCAGGTTGACGTGTGTTCAAAGATCCATCTGCACCTAGTGCCATGTGTGAAATGATCTCTCTTGTGGCCGTATCTAAGACTAGCCCTCTGCTGGCTGTGTTCGAGGCGTTTTATCTGCAACTGTTCTTCGTGAGTGAAATGATCCATCTGGTGGCCCTGTGTGGCAAAATCAATCGTGTGACCATGTGTGAAGCGATCACTCTAGTGATGATGTGTGTAACGATCCCCCCAGTTGCCATAAGTGAAACGATCACTCTAGTGATGATGTGTGTAACGATCCCCCCAGTTGCCATAAGTGAAACGATCACTCTAGTGATGATGTGTGTAACGATCCCCCCAGTTGCCATAAGTGAAACGATCACTCTAGTGATGATGTGTGTAACGATCCCCCCAGTTGCCATAAGTGAAACGATCACTCTAGTGATGATGTGTGTAACGATCCCCCCAGTTGCCATAAGTGAAACGATCCCTCTAGTGACGATGCAAATGTGAACTCAAATGTTACATTTTTTTTTTACTATTTGAAAATAGTGTACTTTCTCTCCGATTCAGTTGAACTTGTGAGTAATTAAAGAATTACTTTACTTGAATTGCGCACTAGGCTTTGTGCGGCTTGTATAAAGTGAAGATTATGCTGGGGAAATCTTACTTTCGCTGTCTTGATACACACATCTAATCTGTAATAACGTCGGACTTCTGTTGGTCTTGTAATATGTAGGCTTACAGTAAATCTTTGCTACAGTTGTATATAACTTGAAAATTTTCCTTATGCTGTTAGTTGCCGTGTACCAGTTGGCTTTGAACTCTGAACTCTTGAGACTGTGACTGACCTCAATTGTCGGCTAGCTCTGTGTGTAGTGAACTCGTCTCGGACTTGATTGATACATGGTCGTAATGGCGTTCGCTGTATTCTTCCGCTCGAATTTTAAAATATATCATTGTTACTCAATGTTCTGTAAGACATTTCTGACACTTCTTTACAATATTTGTAACGCATCGTCGTTACACCGCTTCTGACACCATTTGTAAGACATCTACTCTGACATGGCGTGGGAGCTTATTTCTTATGCTGTGGGTTATGTCAGTAGTATGGTTACTTATGTTATGTTGATATTTCAGGATGCCGACTAAGGCTTCTTCATTCTTCCACTTATAATCCGGGCACGCAAATAAGAATACTGAATCCTGGTTAAACTTACAGTACTTTATTGAACACACTTTATATTGATAATATTAATAAATAATCCTTGCATGAATGTAATTTCACATATATATCTATAGTATTCCATCATTAAGAAAGACACGTCCTCACACTACTGTCAACTCAGCTCAACTGTAATGCATCTCAACTCTAACTCAACTCCGACTAACTCTGACTCTTTATCTCAGTCAACTCATACTTTATTACCAGCAAAGCGTGGAAAACAACCGCTCTGACAAAAACATGATTTTACTCTCCAAAAACGTGGAGTTCACATTTGCATCTCAAAATACAATCCATTGATTGTATCTCCGTGGAAAAAAACATGGTCAACACAATTCACTGTTCACTCATGCTACCTCTCTGTTTTCATGTGAAAACATAGTCCGTTACATGTGTAAGGATCCCTCTATTGGCTATTAGTGAAACGATCCCTCCAGTGGCCATAAGTGAAACAATCCCTCCAGTGGCCATAAGTGAAACGATCCCTCAAGTGCCCTTAAGTGAAACGATCCCTCCAGTGGCCATAAGTGAAACGATCCTTCTAGTGGCCATAAGTGAAACGATCCCTCAATTGGCCATAAGTGAAACGATCCTTCTAGTGGCCATAAGTGAAACGATCCCTCCAGTGGCCATAAGTGAAACGATCCCTCCAGTGGCCATAAGTGAAACGATCCCTCAAGTGTCCATAAGTGAAACGATCCCTCAATTGGCTATAAGTGAAACGATCCTTCTAGTGGCCATAAGTGAAACGATCCCTCCAGTGGCTATAAGTGAAACGATCCCTCCAGTGGCCATAAGTGAAACGATCCCTCAAGTGTCCATAAGTGAAACGATCCGATCCCTCTAGTGACGATGAAGCTAAGTCCGGGAAGAACAAGATTAAATTTGTATTTTTTTTAAACAGCTATATTTGTTACATTTAAAATTGTTTTAGCCTTTCCACAGTCTGTAACACACAAGTACAACAAGTCACACGGACCAATCGAACTGGTCAAAACTGTTCCGTTCACTGCGTTATTGGCAATCGCAAAGAGGGCGAGGGGGGTGACAGTGATAATAATGATACGCACCCAGTGCGACATTAAGTCCTAGCTACACCACTGAGGCCACAATTTGTCTCCAGTCAAACATCTTTTTCTCTTGTTTATAATTACAGTTCTTTCAACGTTTGGGTCCTCTCAATTGGATTCGGTGATCAGCATCCTGAGAATGTGGCATCGTCACGGCCTAGTTCCACATCGGTCTTCTCGCTGACAGATTCTCCAAACATCTCAACAACCCGTGCGTTAAAGATGACGATCATGAATTCAATGTCCCCCAAGAGTACATCAGAAAAACTCATCAACAACGCGACCCAATTGTATCCTAATTTCCCCGCAAGCTTACCGAAAACAACAGCAGCAGCACAGGTCAAGACTGGCCCTTTATATATGACGGCAGTGTTTATGGGTCGCCTTGGCAACCAGTTATTTATCTACGCGTCCCTGCTCGGCATAGCAAGGGCGCAGAACAGAACCGCTTTCATACGGATAGGGACTGATTTGGAAAAGGCCTTTCAAATAACTCACGTCAACCCCAATATCAGCGCAGCAGGGTTAGTACCTTTCATTTGCTGAATCGTTCAAATAACTTACGTCAACCACAATATCAGCACAGCAGGGATAGTACCTTTCTTTTGCTCAATCTTTCAAATAACTCAGGTTAACCCCTATATCAGCACAGCAGGGTTAGTACCTTTCATTTGCTCAATCTTTCAAATAACTCACATCAACCACAATACCAGCACAGCAGGGTTAGTACCTTTCTTTTGCTCAATCTTTAAAATAACTCACGTTAACCCCAATATCAGCACAGCAGGGTTAGTACCTTTCATTTGCTCAATCTTTCAAATAACTCACGTTAACCCCAATATCAGCACAGCAGGGTTAGTACCTTTCATTTGCTCAATCTTTCAAATAACTTACGTCAACCCCAATATCAGCACAGCAGGGTTAGTACCTTTCATTTGCTCAATCTTTCAAATAACTCACGTCAACCCCAATATCAGCACAGCAGGGTTAGTACCTTTCATTTGCCCAATCTTTCAAATAACTCACGTCAACCCCAATATCAGCACAGCAGGGTTAGTACCTTTCATTTGCTCAATCTTTCAAATAACTCACGTCAACCCCAATATCAGCACAGCAGGGTTAGTACCTTTCATTTGCTCAATCTTTCAAATAACTTACGTCAACCCCAATATCAGCACAGCAGGGTTAGTACCTTTCATTTGCTCAATCTTTCAAATAACTCACGTCAACCCCAATATCAGCACAGCAGGGTTAGTACCTTTCATTTGCTCAATCTTTCAAATAACTTACGTCAACCCCAATATCAGCACAGCATGGTTAGTACCTTTCGTTTGCGCAATCTTTCAAAATACTCAAGTCAACCCCAATATCAGCACAGCAGGGTTAGTACCTTTCTGTTGCCCAATCTTTCAAATAACTAACATCAACCCCAATAACAGCACAACAGGGTTAGTACCTTTCATTTGCCCAATATTTCAAATAACTCACGTCAACCCCAATATCAGCACAGCAGGGTTAGTACCTTTCATTTGCCCAATCTTTCAAATAACTCACATCAACCCCTATAACAGCACAGCAGGGTTAGTACCTTTCATTTGCCCAATATTTCAAATAACTCACGTCAACCCCAATAACAGCACAGCAGGGTTAGTACCTTTCATTTGCCCAATCTTTCAAATAACTCACGTCAACCCCAATATCAGCACAGCATGGTTAGTACCTTTCATTTGCCCAATCTTTCAAATAACTCACGTCAACCCCAATATCAGCACAGCAGGGTTAGTACATTTCTTTTGCTCAATCTTTCAAATAACTCACGTCAACCCCAATATCAGCACAGCAGGGTTAGTACCTTTCATTTGCTCAATCTTTCAAATAACTCACGTCAACCCCAATATCAGCACAGCATCTTTAGTACCTTTCATTTGCCCAATCTTTCAAATAACTCACGTCAACCCCAATATTAGCACAGCAGGGTTAGTACCTTTCATTTGCTCAATCTTTCAAATAACTCACGTCAATCCCAATATCAGCATAGCAGGGTAGTACATTTCTTTTGCTCATTCTTTCAAATAACTCACGTTAACCCCAATATCAGCAAAGCAGGGTTAGTACCTTTCATTTGCCCAATCTTTCAAATAACTAACGTTTACCCCAATATCAGCACAGCAGGGTTAGTACATTTCATTTGCTCAATCTTTCAAATAACTCACGTCAAACCCAATATCAGCACAGCTGGGTTACTACCTTTCATTTGCTCAATCTTTCAAATAACTCAAGTCAACCCCAATATCAGCACTGCAGGGTTAGTACCTTTCATTTGGTCAATCTTTTAAATAACTCACGTCAACCACAATATCAGCACAGCAGGGTTAGTACCTTTCATTTGCTCAATCTTTCAAATAGCTCACGTCAACCACAATATCAGCACAGCAGGGTTAGTACCTTCCATTTGCGCAATCTTTCAAAAACTCACGTCAACCCCAATATCAGCACAGCAAAGTTAGTACCTTTCATTTGATCAATCTTTCAAATAACTCATGTCAACACCAATATCAGCACAGCAAGGTTAGTACCTTTCATTTGATCAATCTTTCAAATAGCTCACGTCAACCACAATATCAGCACAGCAGGGTTAGTACCTTCCATTTGCGCAATCTTTCAAAAACTCACGTCAACCCCAATATCAGCACAGCAAGGTTAGTACCTTTCATTTGCTCAATCTTTCAAATAACTCACGTCAACCCCAATATCAGCACAGCAAGGTTAGTACCTTTCATTTGATCAATCTTTCAAATAACTCATGTCAACACCGATATCATTACAGCAGGGTTAGTACTTTTCAATTGCTCAATCTATTCAAATCTTTATTTGGAGAACTAGAAAACTTTATTTATGCGGGAAATAGAGCCCGAAATAATTATGTAGCGTTAAAACGAGATAGAATTTTAAAGAGAAGTATGAATGATGTCTTGTATTTGATTAAAAAGGTATGGAAATTTTCATAATTATATCATTGTGGATATATTATAACATACTAACAAAAAGCCCACCAAGCAACGACGGTGCCAGGGCATGAACTTCCCATCTACTAAAGTTATTTGTGCAAAAAGGAAATCTATGAACGCCGCTTCCAAAGAATCCCATTTAGTACTCATTCGTGGGAGTTTTATTTTGCGCGTCCACTGACCACAGTGTTAAGCCATTCATATGTACATGTAAAGAACTCTTTACTTAAGAGGAATTATTTTAAACTATTTAGATTTTTAAAGACAATTTAAGCTAGGGAGACCTGTCATCGCAATTTCTTTTGTGGTGGCATCCGTCCGTCACAATGTGACGATGGAGTGGGCTTCGGAGGACGAAATCCACATGGCCTGGGATTATTCTTTAAGGATTATAAGCTGGTTCCCAACAGCAAATCGCCTCTCTCCACGCCGCTGGGTAACCCAAGGGAACATCATTGGATGATACAGCTTGGCACCAGTGACGTCGCAGGAGTTGCCGGAATGTTTCATTGTATCAATGTTATCCGCCTTTCGGGACTCCATCTCCGGGTTTAATTTCAGAGTTTCCTTCTCTTAGATGAGTTGCCAATCCAAGGTTAACGAGTCCCATCTACCCGGGGTGCTGGTGGGTTCTTGCTGGAATTGAACTCCAGATCACCAACTTGAGATTTGCTCAGTTTAGACCACTCGGCCACACAGCACCCAATTTCTTTTGTACTGCAGGCTTTATTTTGGAAAATAATATCTTCTTAATTTCACTCCAATTTTTTTTTTTTATTTCGAAGGTTCCTCACTGTCCGCCAGTCAAAGTATGCTTCTTTTGAACCAAAACTGATGAACCTTTCAAGAGACAACGTTACTCTATTCGGGGATCTGCAAGTCTGGAAATACTTTAAGAACATAGAGCACGAAATAAGAAGAGAGTTCACCTTCAGCGCGTCCTTAAAGAAACAGATTGATGACATTTTGGACCAGGTCAGGGCAGAGTTCAAACGTGACGTATTAGTAGGCGTCCACGTGAGGCGAGGTGATTTCCTGTCCACCAGAAACCAAAATCTGGGGTACGGTGTCGCCAAGACGTCATATTTCACCAAGGCGATGGACAGAATGAGGTCCATGCTAAACGGCACGAACGTCACGTTCGTGGTGGCCAGCGATGATCTAAAATGGTGCCAGGAGAATTTAAACTTTACCGACGTTCGAATACTGGAACCAGCCTCACCTCCGTTGCACTTTGGTGTCCTGGCCAACTGTGATCACGTGATATTAGCGGGCGGCTCCTACGGCTGGTGGTCGGCCTGGTTGGCCAACGGCATCATCATTTATTACGATAAGTTTCTCGTCAAAGGAACATGGGTCATGGACGGAGTTACCTTACAAGACTATTATCCCCCAGGGTGGATTGCACTTGGTGATTGAGGAACCGATGGAAAAAAAGGCTCCCTAAAAAGCAATATGTCTTCAGAAGATATGCTTTGTAAACTGGCTCCTAAATATTTATCCTCAACACAGAATACCCGAGGAATAAGAACAGGATACTCTCTGAGGGAGACCCAAGATCCGCAATCGATAGGCATTCTCTTCAGCCAACCCCTTCAATATCTTGCGTAAGCCGATGACATAACCTTGCTAAGCGAAAAGTAGTAGGAACATACCAAAAGCTTTTATGGAAATATAAGACCATTTTTTTACTACAAGCAGGGCCGAAAGATAACATTTAAAAAAACTTATTTTTAAAAAGACCAGAGGAAACCATTAATATTAGAAACAACACTTTTAGAAAAGACAATCACCTCAAACACCCAGGATGCTAAATAAATGAAAGACTTTTTTTTATTTACAGACCTGCAAGAGAGGACATCGCCGAGGATTTAAGGAATACTTCAGTTGTAACAGAATACTCAAAAATAAAAACCTTGGAAGTAAAACAAGTGAAACTATATTATAAAAACTGTAATCAGACCAGTTGTAATATACGCCCGAGAAATGTGCACCCCAAAAAAGACGGCGGAAAACCTTTTAAACACATGTGAGAGCAAAATTATCCGGAAAGCATGCGTACCGACGCAGAATAAAAAGGGATGGAGAATACGAACCAACCAGGAATTGTATAGACTATGTCAGGAACCCACGCAAGCAGCAGAAATACAAAAGCGAAGGCTACGGTTGGCGTGACGCTTAGAAATCATGCCAAATGGATTGAGGAGGGTACACCGCCAAAACCCCAGAGGAAAACGGCTCAAGGTCAGACTTAGGCTTAGATGGATGGATGATGTGGAAAAAGAGCTACAGTAGCTAGGAATACAAGCATTGAACCGCCAAAACCCCAGAGGAAAACGGCTCAAGGGCAGACTTAGGCTTAGATGGATGGATGATGTGGAAAAAGAGCTACAGCAGCTAGGAATACAAGCATTGAACCGCCAAAACCCCAGAGGAAAACGGCTCAAGGGCAGACTTAGGCTTAGATGGATGGATGACGTGGAAAAAGAGCTACAGCAGCTAGGAATACAAGCATTGAACCGCCAAAACCCCAGAGGAAAACGGCTCAAGGGCAGACTTAGGCTTAGATGGATGGATGGTGTGGAAAAAGAGCTACAGCAGCTAGGAATACAAGCATTGAACCGTCAAAACCCCAGAGGAAAACGGCTCAAGGGCAGACTTAGGCTTAGATGGATGGATGATATGGAAAAAGAGCTACAGCAGCTAGGAATACAAGCATTGAAAAGAAAAAGCCTCAGTTAGTTCAGAGTGGAAGGAAGTAGTGAGACAAGCAAAAGCAATACATGGAGTATAGCGTCACATGGATGGATTTTGTTTAATAATAATAATTATAAAGTTTATTTCAAAAACACGCTTCATCCCCAAAGGCTCGAAGCGCGGTACAAAGTAAAAAAAAAATAAAAAAAACAAAAAAACAATTTTGAAAAAATAATTTACCACATTTAAAACAAACGCAACACTACAAAAACTAATTACAAGCATACAATCTCAAAGTCTTTCTACTCATTTCAACCCTAAGCAACACAGCCAATATGCATTAACTGGAAGGTATGGTAGACAATCATCCCCTAGAAGGTGTTTGCGAAATAGATGTGTCTTTAAATCGGTTTTAAAGGACTCCAATGTCTGTTTGTTTCTGAGATCGACTGGAAGGGCGTTCCAAATTGTTGGACCAGCAAATGCGAAAGTGCGCTTTCCGTAAGTCTCAAGGCAAAAACGTGGTTTATGTGTATAAGGAAATAAAGTCTGCGAGCCATCGAGCCAAATGCCCTCCCCCAAAGCATTCTCTTCAAGCCAGAATATCCCTTAACTATCGGGCCGCGAATAGGCACTTTTGAGAGCGCCTCCTGCTGGGACAGTCCCAGCTCGTAGCTTCACTCTATTCACTAGCTTTACGGTGGCCCTCTCAGCCAAGAGAGATCCGGTTTGTCGGTGATGTTGATCTCACAACATCAGCTGTCAACTTTTCCCAACGGTCGGCATGGTGTATTTACGCCCTAATACCCCCCCCCCCCCCCCCCTTTTTTTTTTTATGTGCTCATACCGTGGAAGCGATTGACGCCCTTTAATAGGGTTTTATACAGTGTGTTTCTACCTCTCTGGGACGAAACGCTTGCATATGAACAGACTCCTCAGTGGCTTCGTGTATAGAATCATTAGCATATGGCTGCCACTACTCACCTCATGTTCAGATCCGTCATCGGCAACAGTGTAATCATGATCAGTTAGTTCAGCTGCAGATAAGGCTAAACCAGGCAGTAGCATTGTGATTGCTATAATTTTCGGCAGGTACCATGCCTTTTGTCAGCCTACGCAAGTTCATGCAATGGTGATTATGTTCACCGGGCGGCGCTGGACGGTCGGTGGCAGCGCTCTTTAATCATGCTTCTACAGACATGTCGAATAGACCCGGAAAAAAATGTGGGGGAAGGGTGGACTCAGGCTTAAAAAATTGTTCGAAATATTTTGGAGTAACCCCAAGTAGAGAGGAACTTTGGAAAGACAAAAAATCTAGCAACAGCCTGATAGCGTATCTTGTTCTTGTATCTTAGTATTTCAAAATTAAAACAGTTATATACTTTCCCACCAAGATACAAAATTTACACATGTATCAAAAACAAAAGGAAATGATTGTTGATTTCAGGAGGGGGAAAAGTCCCGGATACCCACAGTCAATGGTATGGGTGAAGGAGCAATACAGACAGTAAAGACACTTTTAAAGAAAGCTCAAGCTTCGTGCAACGATCCATACATTGCCCTGTTGCAGTTTAGAAATGTTCCATGTCCTGATGGACCTTCAGCTGCACGGCTCTTCATGGGTAGACGCCTGAGAATAACTCTTCCAGCTACTGATGCCTACCTAAAGTTAAAAGACCAAGACCCAAAAGAAATGGCCAACATCTGGACCAGAGGAGAAAAAACGATCACGGAAGATATTACAACCAGACTGCGAAAGTAATGGGCAAACACATATTCAGCCTGGGAGCAGTAGCCATATGCAGAACAGGCGTTAAAGCTCATGGAAGCCAGCACTAGTTACCTCAGAAGCCACCCACACCAAGGTCATACATTGTTAAAACACCAGATCGGATGACATATCGGCGTAATCAGAAAATGTAAAAGGAGCCATTTGGCGGGCAAAGCAGTCCTCCAGACTATTTCGAATTTGACAGTCCCGATACAGCACAAGGACCACAACTCACCAACCCAGAGGTTGTACAAGGGACTGTAGTGAGAGTGTCGCTACCAAGTGCCATCAATCCTATTCCAGCACAAGTGGTGACAAACTACGGCAGGCAAGTGAAACCACCAATACGCTTCCTTGATCGAGAGACATGTAAACCATACATCGTCATACACTGCAAATTAATATTTGAACTATTTGTGCATACAAAGTTGTTGGATAATATTTCAGTATAACTATTGACATAATAGTGCATACGTAACTATTTCTTGATTGACAATTGATTGGATTATGAAGAAGGAATGTGGTGGTACGGATGACTGGTGTTTATTGTTGTGTGTATTGAGTGAACTTTGTGACCTGATTCACCCGTGTTATTGTCATGTGCTATGTTTGGACGTGGTGAGTTGTTGTCATGAATGTTTAATTTAAAAAGATGTAAATATTGGTTGGAGAAATGGAATAAAGGACCATGCGATGTTAGGTATAAATAAAACAATCATGTTTTCTCTATTGAAACTTCTATCTTAAAAAATTGACTGGTTATTACATTATTTTAAGAAATGTACATTAAAATAATTATATAATTTGTAGGCTTTTAACAATATAAGATTTATTTAATGTGTGCCTTGTTGAGCACTGCTGATGGCTGATCAGAATGGTAGCACACTTCGTTAGTGCAAGAGAAGTCAAATGTTTGCCTCACTGTGCCTGTAGATTCCATTTGACGCAAATGACTAGGGTTGTATGTTTGCGATCATGTTGCAGGTATGGAACAAGGACAAGGTTCAAGTGTCATGTGCAGTCAAGCCAAATGATAGTAATAGAGTAGTAATACGATATTTTGAGAATTATGGGAAAGTAAAGTGAGTAACAATGATAAAACCTCTCCTTGAACGGATTTGAAAAACCTGTAACAACTGGTTTGCATCACAAGTTATTTTGATTAATCCTGTTCAACAGCAGCGACAATGCATAAGAAATTACCCCCTGCTCCTCAACAAAATGAATTTGACTAATGCAAGTAGCGGCTCGGAGACAGAGAGAGCTTATGGCAATTATTGCTCACACTGACAATGCTTCTATTTTAAGTATGGATAGATGAGAATGATGTTGACTTGACTGGTATATCAGTTCTTCAAGATAAAAATAATAAATCAGATACTATGCCCATCGTTTCGATAGAGCAACACCAGGCTACCCCCTGAGAAGATGATTGCAGCTAGAAACTATGCCACAATTGTCAACTATACTGACAATAATATATATATATATATAAGAATGAGCTAGTTTCACATAACGCCAAAAGAGAGAAATTTTTAAGTACGTTCGGATTCCTAAAAACAATAATAGTAATCTTCTATTATTTTACGGAAATCGAATAACTTTAAATGCGCAAAAAATATTCTAAATCCGATTTTATTTTCGTAAAATTTTAAGTATTATTATTACAAATTACCAATACATTTAGAGTATCAACTGAGGAACTATTTTAAGCATTTTATATGTGTTTGAAAATTATGAAAAAATTTCAAAAATTAAAAAATCATGATCAAAGATTTAGATACACCGTCATCACATTTATCGGAAAAACCCAAGCATCATTCTTTTTTAGTGCGTCTTTTAGTGGGTTGTTAATATTTCGAATTAAAATTAAAATTAATTTGTTCTAAATAATCATGCAAATGACGTCATAGCGCGAAAAGCCTATTTCGCCAAAACTCTTAGGTTTCCT